GTCCTCTGTGAACTCAAGTCGCAACCTGAATATAGTAAGATCGTGACCTGAACCCAGAAATTTTAGAAAACGCAGCACGAACCAGTTTGCTTAAAAACCAAATCTTTTTTTTAGAAAATACAGTCCCAAGCAATCCGAAAATTAGTTAAACAATATTTTCAACATCCAGCAATACTCCACTCAACCAAAATCAAAGCCCTAACAAAACAATACTAACTACCCCTAAGACAAAAGGCAAAATACTAAACTAGAAAGAAGAGAAAAACTGAAAATGAAGAGGGAAGATTAAATAGACCTTGAGAGAGTGGAAAGATGGAAGAACTAGACTCAAGGGTAGAGAAGAGGCTTGATTTTGCACTGCAGGAGGGGAATCTTAGAGTGAAGGCACTCAGAAATCAACAGAGACCGAAGAACTGAAGCAATTGAATGGTTGTAGAGGAAGCAACTGCTAAAAAGGAGTTGAACAGTTGCGACTTTGGAAGGAATTTGAAAAGAAGCAGCTGTTGAAGAATCTGTGATTGAAGGGTCACGACTTCAGAGACAAACTAGAAGGCTGGAGGGTCACAACTAGAAGGAGAATGAAATGAACGTGAGAAGGAATGAAAAACTGAAAGGAGGGTTAAGTGTAGTTTTACAAAGGGAGGGCTAGGGTTTTAGGTCCTTGCAGTGAATATAGCTTGAATAGGGGCAGGTTCAAGGGGCAACATGGTAATTAGGGTGGAAATAAGTAATAGTAAAGAGGTGAACTTGCAGAAAAATCCTGACTTTTCATGTCAGGTCACGACATAAGGTATACGAGGTCGTGACTTCAGGAGCCAGGGGGTTTAGGGTTTCAGAAGACTCCATGTCGCAACCTGAAAATAGTGAGGTCGCAACTTAAACTCACAGAGAGCCTTTACCCAGTTTCTTCCCTAAGTCGCGACCATATACATTGAAGTCCCGACTTAAACACACAGAGAGCTCCTAAATTTAGACTAACCCCTAGGTCGTGACCTGAAAACATTAGAGTCATGACCTGAGTACACAAAGGGGCTCTGACACTCTAGACCCTGAAAAACTTCAAATCTAAGTCCCTAAACCAAAATCACTTACCAAAATGCTACCATAACAACCTAACTCAGTAATCCATCATCAAATTCTTAACAATTCAAAACAAAACTCCTAGACCACAAAACCCAACAACCAAAACACAAAACCACTTTTAAGAACTCCCTCCCCCACACACTCAAAGCAATGTCCATATTGCGGTACATAGTCACACCAAAGTAGAAAGCCAAAACACAAAACAACAAAGGTAGAAGTTGTGAAGTTCAGTTCAAGACTGAAGCACAAGATGTCACCCTTCTAGAGAGAGGAAAAGAGCTAAGCGCAAGGGTGGGTAAACTCAAGAGTGCAAAGAAGTGCGTGGTGGTGACAAAATAGAAGCACAAATACAATCATATCAAACTCAAGGCTAGGGAGATTATTAAAAACAAACAAACAACATAATTTAAAACTACTTCTACTGAGGGCATCCCTTTCACAGTTTCCAAAAGTCACAACAAGGTAATTTAAGCACAAGTAAGTTCATGTGAATAGTAAAAGTAAAGGAAAGGGATGACCTGGCCTTAAGAAGGTGGTGTGGGCTCTTCGTAGAGCTTGAGGAGATGTCCGTTGCACTAAAACTTTTTTCCTGTGGCCTCCTCCTTGAGCTCTATCATCCCGAAGTTATGCACTTTCGTCACAATGTAGGGTCCATCCCAGCTCATCTTGAACTTACCCTTCTTGAATTTGAATCGAGCTTGATACCTCAACACCTTGTTACCCTCCTTGAACTTCTTTCTTAAGATGTTGGCATCATGGACAAGCTTGGTTTTCTACTTGTAGATGTCTGAGCTGTTGTAGGCGTCTAACCGTATTTCTTTAAGTTCTTGAATTTGAAGGAGTCAGTTTATGCCAGCTTCCTATAAATCGACATTGCAGCTCTTTACCGCCTAGTATGATCGATGCTCCACTCTATTGAAATGTGATAGGCCTTATCATAGATGATCTGACATGGAGACATACCGATTGGGGTCTTCTGGGCAGTGTGGTAGGCCCACAGTGCATCATCTAGTCGTAAGCTCCAGTCTCTATTAGAGGGCTTGACAATCCGTTCCAAGATGCATTTGATCTCTCGATTTGATACTGCAGCCAAACCATTGATTTGAGGATGATAAGGGGTGGACACTCTGTGGGAAACCCCATACTTTGCCAACAAGTTATTGAGTAACTTGTTGTAGAAGTGGGTTCCCTGATCACTGATTAGCACTTTAGGTATGCCAAATCTACTAAAGATGGTGGACTTCAGAAATTTGGAAATCGTAGGTGCATCGTCTTTGCTTGTGGGGATGGCTTCTACCCACTTTGAGAGGTAATCTACAGCTAGAAGAATGTAGGTATAACCATGAGAAGGCGGAAAAGAACCCATAAAGTCTATTCCTCAAGTGTCAAAGATCTCACAGAACAAGATAGGTTGTTGTGGCATTTCGTTCCTTCTACTAACCCCCCCCAAACCGTTGACTTTTATCGCATGCCTTACAAAAAGTGAATGCGTCTTTGAATAAGGTGGGCCAGTAAAATCCTGCATCTAAAACCTTCCTAGCTATTTTTCTAGCACTAAAGTGCCCACCACATAAGGTATTATGGCAAGCCTCCAGAATGGCTCAAGCCTCTACTTCCGGGATACACCGTCTAATCACTTGATCAGAACATAACTTATAAGTGCGGTGGATCCCATATATAATAGGAAGCTTCGCTCCTAAGCTTTTGAACCTGAAAGGTGGTCAAGTGAGAAGGGATTAGACTAGTAGCAATATAGTTAACTAAGTGAGCAAACCATGGTTGAGAAACAGACAATGCACATAGAGATTGGTTAGGGAATGAATCATAGATAATATCAGAATCGAGTACTCCCTTAGTTTCTAAAGGTAGTCTGCTCAGGTGGTCTGCTACATGGTTGACATTTCCAGCTCTGTCTTTTACTTCCACATCAAATTCTTAAAGCAATAACATCCACCTCAAAAGCCTCGGCTTTGATTGAGGTTTGTGGAAGAGGCATTTCACTGCTGCGTGATCTGTAAACACAGCCACTTTGGAATTTATTAGGTATGGTCTAAACTTATCAAGTGCAAAGACAATTGTAAACAATTCCTTCTCAGTAGTGGTATAGTTTTTCTGAGCTGCATCCAGAGTTTTAGAGGTATAAGTAATCACTCTAGAAACAGAATTTTGCCTTTGACCCAACATTGCCCCCACACTCAAGTTTGAAGCATCACAAGAAATCTCGAAAGGCAAATCCCAGTTGGGAGAGGTCAAAATAGGAGGCCTCAATTCATTAAAAGCAAGCTCACATGCATGGTCAAATTGAAACTCAATATCTTTTTGTAGCAGTTTGGAAAGGGGTAAAGCAATTTTACTAAAATCCTTGATGAACCTTCTATAGAACCCCATATGACCTAGGAAGGACCTCAACTCTTTCAAGTTGGTTGGGTAGGGCAAAGAAGATATCACCTCTACCTTGGCTTTATCTACCTCAATTCCTTTTTCAGAGATTAAATGATCTAGCACAATGCCTTGATTAACCATGAAATGACATTTTTCATAATTCAAAACCAGCTTTTTCTCAATGCACCGTGCTAGAATTTGGTCAAGACTTTCCAAGTAGTCTTCAAAAGAATTTCCATAAACAGTAAAATCATCCATGAACACATCCATGCATTTTTCAATAAATTCAGTAAAAATGGATAGCATATAGCGTTGGAATGTGCCAGGAGCGTTGCAAAGACCAAAAGGCATTCTTTTGTAAGCATAAGTTCCAAAGGGACAAGTGAAGGTGGTCTTCTCTTGGTCTCTAGAGTCTATAGGAATTTGGAAATATCCAGAGTACCCATTTAGAAAATAGTAATGACTCTTCCCCACTAACCGTTGAAGCATTTGATCAATAAAGGGTAAGGGAAAATAGTCTTTCCTAGTGGAATCATTAAGCTTCCTATAATCAATACAAACTCTCTCCATGAGTTTTGCACCCTACTTGGGATGAGTTCATTGTTTTCATTTTTAACTACTGTGATCCCACTATTTTTGGGTATGACTTGTACCGGTGACACCCACTTGCTATGAGAAATAGCGTATATGATTCCAGCTCTTAGAAGTTTGTCTACTTCTTTCCTAACTACATCAGAAATTAGATGATTTAACCTCCTTTGGCTTTGTTTAATTGGCTTGGAATCTTCAGTTAGTGAAATCCTATGGGTACAAATAGTAGAGTCAACTCCCTTAATGTCAGCTAATTGCCAACCCAATGCCTCCCTATTTCTCCTAAGAACTCTCATTAAACTAGTCTCTTTATGCTTAGTTAAAGAACTAGAAATAATGACAGGCAATTTATTCTTAGGCTCAAGATAAGCATACTTCAGGTTGGGAGGTAAATCTTTTAGTTCCAAAGTCGGGGGTTGAACAATAGAGGGAATTAGAGTAGGAAAATCAACAGAGTTAGAGAAACTCCCCTTTGTAGACCTTTTTGAAATGCACTCGCTAGCTTCACTTGGATTGACTATGCTTGCTTCAGTCCTAAATGATGTTGCACCAAGCTCGAATTGGTCTATAAAAGCAACAAACTTAGGTTGGTCCACCTCCATACCTACATCATTATTAGAGATTAGATCATTCAAAAATTGTAAGGTATGGGGTATAATTTTAGAATGTGTATGAGTAGCAATTAAATCAGAAAGTGTTGGCCCTTTAACCAAAGTTGTCAAGACATGAGGTGGAGCATTTAAAGTTTGAAGTTCAATAGGTGAAACAGGTAAATCAGGTCGCAACCTCATATATCCAGGTCGTGACCTCACATCATTGAAGCTACCCTTTTGGAATGCTTGGGCTGAAGTTGTGACTTGAGAACTATCAGGTCGCGACTTAACTTGACAGAGGCCACCTTCTTTACAGGCTTGGTAGGAAGTCATGACTTTAAAAAACTCACGTCACGACCTCATGTCACAGAGGCTCATTTCCTCAGATTTTGCTCCACTCTCAGCACCGGCCACATCTTGAATACCTGCATTATTAGCTAACAAACCCCTTTCAAGGCCAACATCAGTTGTAAACACATAAATGGAGTCAAAACTTGATGGGAAGGAAAGGTCTTGAGAAATGGAAAGCATGCTATAAATTTTTAGGGAATTAATGCATGGTGCTTCATCTCCACAAGAACTAGAAAATGAATAAGCAGAAGAGAGAGAATTAAAATATTCATCATATGCACTCAAAGATGAATCAAGCTTATAGGATTCATGTGATGATGCAGTAGATGAATCAATCAATTTAGGTGAACTCATGTCATAACTATCATGCATATGCAATCATGCTCATCCCTAGCTTGCTCAACAACTAAATCAATAACATTTAAACCCATGAATGTGGAATTGTCAAAGGGATAACGCATGGCTTCATTCATATTAAAAGTTACAACATGGTCTTCTACTTCCATTGTTATATAGCTGTGTTTCATGCTTATGATAGTCTTAGAAGTTTACAGGAAAGGTCTTCCCAAAATCAAAGTGCTTTCATTTGCAAGTTGATTCGACATATCTAAAACATAGAAATCAGCAGGGAATACTAAATCCTTGACTTGGACTAGAATGTCTTCTATGATCCTCTTGGGATACCTGATAGACCTATCTACTAGTTGGAGTACTACACTTGTGTCTGTGATCCCATTAATCCCTAGAGCCAAATAAATCAACCAAGGCATGACGTTTATGGCAGCACCTAGATCTAACAATGCTCCTTTAATGTAAATCTTTCCTATGGTGCAAGGGATGGTGTAAGACCCAGGATCTTGGCACTTAACCGGTAGTTCAGCTTTAAATAAGGATGACATATTAGCACTCACCTGAATTCTCTTAAGGGGCCTAAACCTTTGCTTGTCATTACACAGTTCCTTTAGTAATTTAAAGGATTTAGGATTCCCTCTTAAGAATTGAATTATGGGCACATTGATTTCTAGTTTGTTAAACAATGTGTAAGCATCATTAGCAAACTCAGCATCAAACTTTTTCTTACCAGAGAAATAGGCTTTAGGAAAAGGAAGGTCTTTAGCATATACCTCTTTACCTACTGGCTTAGAGGCTCCTTGGTTGCTGGTCTATGGTTTGTCCTCTTTTTGCTTGTCTTTGTGAGTCAAGCTCTTTACAGTGCTCTCATCTTCTGGCACAGCTACTTGAGATGCTTCTTCTTGTGCTTGAGTTGACTTCTCTTCTGGTTCAGTGTGTGCTCTTGCCTTCATCATGAGCTCTTCTTCTTTGGAGCTCTCAGACTTGCCAAGCCTCATTAGGGAAAGTGGGGGACTCTCTACCCCTTGTGCAGAATCATCCTTGTCTACTTTTTCACTTTCGAAGTGAACCTTTTTACCGCTTCTTAGAGTTATGCTGTTGAGCCCCTTTGGATTGATCATTGTATTGGAGGGAATGCTGCCTCCGCTTTTAGCTTCTATGTGATTGACCGCATTAGACAATTGGGTCAAATGACTGGTGATATCAGTGTTCTTTAAAGTGAGCTCCTCTAGTTTCTTATGAACATTTGAGTTATCTTTCTACATCTCTTGCAATATGGTGGTTATGGAAATGAACTTGTCATCACTTTCCTTCATTTGCCCCTCTATGTTTGTCATCTGAGCAGCCATGCTTTTTAAAAGTTGAGATGTGTCATCTCCTCTTGGCGATGGTTGAGATACCATAGTCTGTTGTGGGGTCATCACCACTGCTCTTGAAGGATCTTGAAATGTGCTTGAGGAGGCCCTAGGATTGTAGAACTGATTGCCTTGGAACTGGTTTGGTCTATTTGCTCCCCCACCCCATTTGAAGTTTGGATGATCTCTCCAACTGGGATTGTAGGTGTTTGAGTAGGGCTCCCTTTTTTGATATTGCCCCTCTCTTCATTGGTACATGGCATTCACTTCTTCAACTGGCCCAGGGCAATTTGAGGTAGTGTGCATCGGTGACAGACAAACTTCACAAATTGTAGCTACTAGGGCAAGAGAGTGAGTTTTGTTAGAGTGAAGGCTTTCAACCGTATTTGCAAGTTTAGACATGTCATGTGTCACATCCAGTAATATGGCAATTGGGAATAAGGGTATTTCTAAATATTTAAAGGCCAAAAATGACAAGGAGAAATAAAAGAATTTTGGTGGAAAATAATTATTATAATTTTCCAGGCCAATTATGAAAAGTTTGACTAATTAAGAAAATTTGGTCAAGAATAATTATAGAAAAATAATTCTGAGTCTCAGAAAATTAAGAAAAAATAAGGACAATATTCCTTGAGAATTATATGGGATTATAAAATTGGTTGTATGACCAATTTGCCCTTAGAAAAATTACAAAGGAATTTAAAGGCAATTTAAGCTAGTTTAAGGTCTTTATTTGGAAAATTCCAAATAAATATTTTCAAGAGGAATAAGATCCCAACAAAATTCCTATGATATCCCAAGAAATTATAAGAGATTATGGAATTAAAAGAAGACCCTCAAGTATCCAAGATTTTTTCTAATTTCTTAGAAAAGTGGAAAAATCACTAAAGAGAAGGAAATTAGTTTTCCATTTTATTTAATTATTAGAAAATTTAATTTGAGACGAAGAGGGCAATTTGGAAAGATAAAAATGAGAAGAATAATTTATGGATCTGACAAAAAATAATTACAGGGACCAGAGTACTGTAATTATAGAAAAGAAGTTAAACCCAGAGTAAAAGTGCACTGATAAAGCAAGACTAGAGTCTTGCAATTCAAATGGTTCACACTTAGCCATGTGTCAAGCCTCTAATGGATGGTTAAAGCTTTCCAAGTGTCAAGCTATCAATGGAGAGGATCTTGACTTTGGAATTTAATTACATTTAAGTTAATTAAGAGAGAAGATTAAGACTAAGTAGGCTTTTGACACTTGGCACAACATTAATGATGGTTGGTGGGATATTTTGTGTGCATTGAATGAGCTTCTCCTCCCCTAAATCTGATCCATATTTTGTGCAAGGAGAGTTAGAGAGGAAAAAGGAAGAGCTTCAAAGGAAAACCAAGAGAAAGGCATCAACTTTGGTCATTCAATCAAGGATTCAAGGTGAGTTCTTAGTTCTAGATGTGTTCTTACCTTGTTTTCCTTCTCTTTTATGGTTGAAAAATCTGTCCCCTCTCTCTTTAATGGTTGGCCGAACTGAATAATAAAAGGGGAAGGGAGTTTGGTTGTTAGATCTTGCTAAGACACAACAACACAAGTTAGATCCTAGTGTTTGCAAGTGATTATAGTTGGTTTTGAAGCATTTTTCATGGTTATTTCCTTAAGTGTTATTTTTGGCCAAAGCAAGATCTAAACCCTAGGATATGTTTTTCAAAGTTTTGAGGCTTCCATTGGGTTCAAAATGAAAAATGGTGTAGGGTAAACCTAAAGAACAAGTATTGGAAGCCATAGAAGCAAAGTTGCAATTTTTGAGTTTTAAACCCTAAGGGTTCGGCCAAACTGAAACTGGAAGAGGAAAATTTATTTTGTTAAATCCAAGTAGATATTTGGAATCTACATGAAAAATCATGTGGGGTTGAGTCAAGAGGGAATTTTTAGGGTTTATGGAAGCTAACTCTAAAAATTCAAGAACAAGAATGAACGCTTTAAGGGGCTTAGGAGTTACTTGAGTTATGCTATTGATTTTATGAGGAATGATTGATGATTCTTGCTACCCTTTTTATGGATTGCCATGTTAGGGTTTGGCACTTGTGGAAGCAAGAAGGAACAACAAGAAAAACAAAAAACATTGGATTAAGGTAGTGGGATCTAATTAGCCATTAATGTTAACTTTGCATTGTTATTTATGGCATGTATGCTTGCTATTATATGGTTGAACTATGATGTTGTGATATGGTTGCTCCTTGCATTTGTTGCCATGGCCTTGCATGTTGAGGTTGCCTATTTATGAAAGATTAGTTCTCCTATGATAGCTAATGTTGAAATGCTTTATAATGATGCATGTTAATGTTTGGTTGATTGATCTTGCTACTGAGATTTCTTAAAATCTCATCCCCCAAATATAATCTAACATTTTAGGGCCTAAAACTACTATGATCAAACTGTAGATTGGAGGTTAAAGTGTGGTGTTTTGCCATAAAATTCGTGGACCCTTTTTGGTTATGCATATATTAAGCTAATAGTGTTGTAAGCACACTGACACTCTCATGCTCATGTGACTTTTTGATTATTCTCCCGAATGTGTTTAATCACGAAATTTGGTATGATTATAGATAACGTCCTGAGCTTCAAATCAATAGTTAATATGTTAAAAATGGCCAAGTATACAAATTTTAATGATTTTTTCAAAGTTAAAGGTCAGAATCTGGGAAAAAGGGTTTTTGGTAAATGGACAGTGTTGCATTTCACAAAACCCTGACACTTTTTTATAAGGAATTGGATCATGAGATTATTTTTCCTTGAAAGAGGACTTAAAGAGCTTTAAGTAAAATTTTGAACCACCCCGTTTGGATTTTGGTGGAATAAGTTATGAATTGTTGAAGTTGGGCCAGAAAAACTAGAGTTTTACCCGATGAACAATAAAAATCCGAAATTTAGTGTTTTTAAGGTAAAAAATGAGCCCAAGACCATCCAATGTGGTCTAAAGTGGTTTTAAATGAAACCTAAATGGATATAATAGTAAGGTGTGACATTTTTTTGGTATCAGAGAGGAGGTTCTGGCATAGGATAGAACGCTCTGCTTAGTTAATATGTCAGTTAAAAGAAAAATTGACATATTCTTGAAAGAGAATACTACTGTCTAATTATTAGATGGTTGTTTATTATAATGTAGGGTGGAGTAGAATGGCTTGTTATGACCACAATAGTGATTCAAAGGGTTCAATTAACCAGAGGAGACCAGGAGAACCTTTCCCTCATTGGTTCTATAAGGATGAGGACTATAGTCTTATAGCAGACTTCTACTATGATACCTTATGGCAGAGTAACCCTCTACCTGACATAGCCACTGTTGCTTCCAATGATCCTCAGAGGAATGAGGTCATTGAAATATCTGATGATGTTGGAGCTGGACCTAGTAAAGTCAAGCTACTTCCAATTATGAAAGAATTTCACACCATAGAGGACCTAGCCAGGGATTTTAGGGAGAGGGGCTGGTACATTAAGCCCGATGAGAATCAAAATGCCCATGTGTACCTAAGATATCTAGAGGATATCCAAAAGCTTTACCATCATGTGACTAGGGATGATGCTACCCTAGAGATGATGGACTGAATATCAGCATTGCTTAGAGTACTCCCTCAGACTCGGCTTTGGAAAAATGGTGTGAGAAACGTTTGTAGTCACATGAATGGTGTTAGCTTCAGCGATCTCATTGATGCCCTTGAGATCTTTTAAGGAATACATTTCCTTGAGTGGATACAGAAGACTGAATCCTGATGACGACAGAGGTTCTCCTGTTTATACCCTGGTGGAAGAATGAGTTTTGTCATTTGTACCCAACATTGGGATCCGATGTTGAGTTAATAGACCCAAAACCTTGAGAGTTTCACTATTTCCTATTTTGGGTAGTCAGTTGGACTTTTGTAGTACTGACATAGGACTTGTATTGTTACGGCTAACCATAGTAGGTTGGTCTGGCATGCTTGATTGCTATGTATGTTTCTAAGATGGATATGTATGTTAAATCATATTGCTGTGATTGATGACTGATGCTTGAATGATATATGCATATATTGCTAAATGAAATCCAAGTATGTTGTTTATTTTCTTGTTCCTCGAATATGCTATCCGTTTAGTTAGTGTATTGGTTAGAACCGATACAACGCTTTGCCGGAGAGACCCTTAGAACGCGACGGAAAGGTCCATCATAATC